AGGGGGGGGGGAGGGTCGTTGCGCGCGGCGTGCGAATGTGATTCACGCTCGGGCGAGGGAAGACTTGTCGACGCTACGATGCACGCGCATATAATGACTCGCTCGAACGAACGATGTTCGAGTGATCCCGCGACGAACAATGCGGAGCAAGGTGAACGGCCCGAAGGCCGTCGAGAATGGCCGGAAGCCGTCAGTTCGGCGGTAGTCATAAATAAAAAGTCATCTCTCTCTCTCTCTCTCCCTCTCTCTTTCTCTGCCAGTAAATAATCTTTTTATCATTTTAGTGCTGCTTTTTCTACACAAAATTTCTCTTTCACTAAGCTTAATTTTGAGTATAGAAATCAGAGTGATTGCATTCAAACTTCTCAGTTTGTCCCGCAATTGCTCCGGTTACGTTTAAAAGTTACGGTTATTCTGTCGATACCGCACCTATCGATCTCGTTGCGTGATGTTTCACCATTTCCGTTTTCGGCGGAAGGCAAATACTGCCCGATAAGCCAAATCGCTCTCTTTCTCTCTCTCTGTCTCTCTCTTTCGAAGATTCTCGAAATTCATCTTCCGATAATAACTCGGTCAGTGCGATATAGGTATAACGGTATCCCCATTCTTGCGATTTTAAATTCTCCACCGTGCCAAATCGTAAGGTGCATGCCCACGCCGAAAGATGCCCACGCAATAAATTAAGATCGTGACCCGTGAGGATCGAGACAATTGGTCAAGATTCGAAAAAGCTTGGCTATAGCCAGAGATCAGAACAAAAAAAAAATAAATTGACGACTTTGATGGACAAGAGATATTTCGTTCTGACGATTAACATCTTCATAGATTCAAAGATACGTATAACAACTTTAACACAAATCGCGGACAAAAATTTGTGAAATAACATGATTATGTCTTCATATATATCTACACCTTATCAATCGCGGAATCGATAAAAGTTGATACTTAAAAAATACAAGTTACGCAAGTGTATTAGACGTACAAAAAATTAACGGGCAAATATATTATGTACCGTCATAGCATATAAGATTGCAGTTTTCACTTGTGTTTACAAATAGTCTTATAATCATTATTCCGTTGAAGACTCTATTTCGCGATACGGTATATCGCTAATAATGGCGCGCTTCGAATCCAATGAATAATGGAATATTACACTGATACCGAGAGAAAGGATACGCCATTTACGATCTCTGTCGACCTATCGACGGATCGCCCCGGGCAATTCCTATATTATTTCCAGGATTACCTTCGGCACTTTCTCGCACAGGATCGGAATTCCAGTGACCGTGACGCCGCTACGCGGACACGATTCGGTAACGCCTAAGTTTAACGCTCCGGACATTCCTAAGGTTCCCCGCGCGATGATTCGCGATGGGTGAGAGAAGCGTGGCCGGCCGGCTCGGTCGGTCGGTGGGTGGCCAAACGACGACGGCCGAAATCGGCGAAGCCGTTCCCGTATAGCTGCGCTAAGTAATTTTAGCGATGACACTTAAAGCGCGCCTGCCTACGGTATTTTCCCTCGTCTTGGAGCGTGATCTCCTCGAAGGAGATACATCACAATCTTGTATACTACACATCACAATCTTGTATACTAATTCTAATTAATAGAATAGCACCACGTGAAATAATGATTTTTCACTTTAGTCCGTATCCCAATATAAATTTTCAATCACATTCTTTACATGTTTCAAAAGCAAAACAAGTTTTTAACTATGTTAAAAAAAATATTGTTTTCATCAGCATGGCATATATATGTGTATATACCATGCCGATGCAAAATCAAAAACAATATTTTTTTTAACGTAATTAAAAACTTGTTTTGCTTTTAAAACATGTAAAGAATGTGACTGAAAATTTATATTGCGATACGAACTAAAGTGAAAAATTATTATTTCACGTGGTGCTATTTTATTAATTAGAATTAGATACACAAAAATAAGAGACAGTTATGAGACAATTTTTTTCAATTAAAATAAAATCTCTGAAAATGAAAGATATGTATACATTGGACACATTGAAACTTGGGCGCCTTTCACATTGTACAATAGATACATCATATAGATTTTAGATCCGCGTACGCGGCAATTCGACGTTTCTCATCGCGAGACGAAGACGGCGGTGGCGGCGGCGGCGGCGGCCTTCGTTAAACGGCCGGAGGATGGCGATTCGTAATTTTAGAAATGATAGCGAGCCGCGCGCGCGGCGGCACGTCTTCTCTCCCGCGCGGGAGAGCGAAGGACAACCGCGGGGCTTCTCTTTTTCCTTCCTGCGTCCTTTTGTGTTTTCTGGGAAACGCGCAACGCGTATAGATTACGTCCCCGACGACTGGCGATTGGCGGCGCGATAATGGCGCGCGAGGTTGTCGCTACGTGAGCTGCGATTCGAGGTGCTCGTTAATACCGTCGTAGTTAGGGAGAACGACGGGACGCTCGTAAAGTCCGCCCCCTTCCTCCGCCTTGCTTCCCTCTCCCCTCCTCACTTGCGGTGAAATCGCGTTCGAGTGACCGCGAATCTTTTTTATCGTCTCGTCGCCGCCGCCACCGCCACCGCCGCATAGAAACGACGTTTTTAATTCGATACGAATTACAGTATTGCGCAACGTTATAACGCACGTGCGCCGCTGGCGCGGCGTTTGTAAATTGCCGCCGGAGACGCAAAACGCGAAGGAAAAGACGCACGAGAATCAAAACAAGCCTGGACTTCAAGCCTTATGATATCCAGGAAACTATTATAACGTTGGTATTTAAATTCATCCGAATCTGACAATCAAGGCAAAAAAAAGAAGAAGAAAAGACGGACGCGGATATTCTCGCGAAGTAAATCAACGAGCGACGTTGATCGTTTCATAATTTCAAATGACGACGCCTCGAAACTTCGAGCGATCTATCTCGCTCCGCAAAACGATACGTTATCGGCTATTGGATCATGGATATTTTTATCGAGCCATCTCGGTGAGATTAACTGACTGATATCGAACCTGGAAAGTCGAAGATAACGCGATACCGCACCTACGTTAGTAGCAGTTTCTTTCCCGCGAAAGAACACACCGTAGAAAATTTTACACTGCGAAGTCAAAGTAGTTAGTCATTTTTTTATTGTGTTTTCCAAAAACGAAACTTGAAACGGCAGAGAGAAAGAAGTAAACAGTTACACTTCTACTAACACTCGTATAAATCTCGCTTATTGAAGTTTTTATTGATCTCGTCATTAATACTTTGATATACAAAATCGAATTCTACTTTTCTTCATTTAATCATAGTTGTAAATAATGTAGTTACAACTTGTAATTATAAATTAGAGAGAGATTTTGGATAAACACTTTTCAATTAACACAGTTTCCATTATCTTTGTGCTTGCAGCTGGTATCTCTGGACGGATTGCACAGCGGAGTGCCGACCAGGACGACGCCGACGCTGACGCCGACCACCCTCCGCAGCATCGAGCAGACGTTCCTGGAGCTGACAAGCGAGTCGGCGTCGCACAGTCGCGAGGCCGGCTTCGTGCCGCCGCTGGTCGAACCGTCGCAGCCGACCCCGGCTCAGACGCAAAACACAACGGCGGTACATCTTCCGGCGCCGACGACCACCCTTATCGAGACCCAGCAGCAAACACAGCCGCAGCAGCAGCAGCAACAGCAGCCAGTTAGACGCAATATGGGTGGCAGGCGGCCTACCAGAACGATCGGGATGACCCCCGAGGAGGAACACAGGCGACAGATCCGCCGCGAAAGGAACAAGATGGCAGCGGCGAGGTGTCGCAAGCGAAGAATGGATCACACCAATGCCCTACTTGAAGTAAGTGCGAAGTAATTATGGACACAATGTTGCGGTGGCTTATTAGAATTATTAATTTTGCCTGTGCGATGATTGTGAATAAGGATTTTAAGTTATAAGTTGCTTTCACATTTTTAGAGAGCGTCTGCACGTTCGCTAAAAGATTTCAATCTCTCCAATCGTTGAAAAGCCACGAGTGCGTCGTTTGCAAAGGAATACACTGCTACATGACATATCTTTTTTTTTTGCAGGAGACTGAGGGTTTGGAACAAAAAAAACAAAGCTTGCAGGATGAGATCGAGCAGCTGAAGCAGGTCAGAGATGAACTGGAATTTATTTTGGACGCCCACAGAGCTGTTTGTCGCCGTTCGCTACGCCCCTCGTCCCCGCTGGATGTAAAACCCGTGATAAAGACCGATCACTCGGTCGAGAATCAGTTTGCCGCCGAAAAACCTGTGAAAGGCGATACGACGGTAGCCGCGGCAGCGAGACCGAATCGACCTAATTCATTGCCGGTCGGATTGGACAACAATAACAGACTGAATTCCCTGACCATGTTTGTGGAGCCGAAAGAGAGACCGGACACACTCGCCTTCAAGACGGTGGAGACCCCCGCCTTTATGAAGCCGTCGATGGATGTGGCCGGTATGCCGATCACCACTCCGACCAGCGGCATACCGTTTAATTTTGAATCCCTAATGGAAGGCGGCACCGGTCTCACGCCGGTCTCGACGCCTCTGATACCGTCGTGCTCGACGCAACAGAGAAGCAATCTGTCAGTCGTGGATCTCAGCTCCCCGGACGCGAATCCCCCGAAGCTCGTAAGCTTGTGACGCCACGACGACATGGTGGAGCATGGGTCCAACGAAGAGAACGAACCCGAATGAGAACGGGAGTACCATGACGCGAAGGATTATTTTTACTAAGGAGGAGCAGAAGTATTATACGCGTGCTCTTTACAACGAAATTTTTGATCGCTCTTAAAAAGCTCTTTCACGCGATTTCGCTTAATACAGCTGGCGCTCTTTCTCTTCAAACGTGTCTTTCTTTCAGAATCTCTCAACGTGCTGTATTACGTGCAAAAAATGTACGTGGAAAAGATTTGTTGTATTTAGAATTTTAACGCTGCGAATATTATTTGACTCTCAGTATTTTCCTTATTCGCAGACGAATCTTGTCAATTTAAACATTTTTAAATATCTTTTATTGTTGCAAAATATAAATTTGTAGGAGAAAGAGAAATATGTTTGAAGAGAAAAGGCAACAGCTGTTTACGCCTTTAAGGAAATTTTATCGCAGATATGAGCAATAATGTCTGCAAACAAGTGATATAAGTATATTCAACGTTTAAAAGTAACGAATTAGAATAATGAATGTAAGGTGTCATTTTTTAAGCGATTCAACGAGACGAGTAAAATTTTATACTATAATTCTATATTGTGTGAAAATAAAAATTTAAAATGTAAGACAAAAAACAAGATTAGCTCAAACATCTAAGTACATTAAGGAGTCTAAGAGCTCTTTGAATTGCGCTTAAGATTGATCAACAACAGTTCGCATAATTTAAATGTATATTTCATTAATTAGGGCGGATAAATAAAAATACACGAATGCGGGAATTCCCAAATTGTTTTCGCGACGTTCAAGAAGAAAATCTCGCTTTCGTGTTATCCGCATAAATTTTTTTATACGCGGCTGTCGTTTTTCCAGTCTCACGCGACATTATAACATTTAATCCCTCCACATACAATATAATATATACATATATTTTACGACGTGACATTTTTGCATGATCTTAAGCAATATTAATATATTTATGCGCGACTGCTAGTTATGATGCATGGAAGCCCGTAATGATGACGTTCTGATGGCCTGCTAGCGGCATTTTTTCGCTCTGGCTGATTACCAAGAGCTTTCCGTATCATATTTGGTGGTCGCTATTGAGAATTGTATATGGAGATTGTAACGCACCAATGATAATGTTGCAATATATTTTGATTAGATTTGAGTCAATAAAACAAAGTATAATTGTATTTTCGATAATGTTATCTCTGTTCATTATACTTTCTTCATTGTACTTTTCTACTATCAAGTACTATTCATTTTAGAATCCTTTAATTTTTTCGATAGCTTCTTCCTCATCGATAGGAGTCATTAGCTGATAGTGACTAAATTCCAATGAGAGCGTCGCGTTGCCTGATGTAATTATTCTCAATGTCGTTGAATATCCCAATAATTCCGATAGTGGCGCGAGAGTTCTGATCACCTGTAATGAAAGTGAAACACGATTTTAGTCGTAATTTAGCAAATAATAATAAGTGTTATACAATGAATAAGAAAACAATTTATTCACTTTATTGTTGCCACGCATATCAATTTGTTGTATCGCTGCTCGTCTACGAGTGAGATCAGAATTGATGCTCGATGAATATTCCTGCGGTGTAACGATTTCCAATTGCATCATGGGCTCCAGTAACATGCTATTTCCATCTTGGAGTAACTATGCACATATGAAAAAAAACATATACTATTTAAAACGTTCTATTAAACATTGAAAGTATTTTGTTTACATGTATAAACGAGCAAAAACAAATTCTCCGTATTTATTTAAATACAATATCATAAATTCGCAATGATCAGAATTATCAGGTAATATTAGTTTAAATAATAAAATTGATATATACACACCAACCTTCCGAATGCATTGCGAGGCAGTGGCGGAAATAATGGTATCTGAGGTACCGCGTGCTACCTCCAGCCAGTGCAGCTTGACGCCAACATTAATTACCGGGCAATTTAATTTCACACCGTGTAACAGGGCAGCGTTCACGCCGTTTTTAATCGCGCTCATCACCCGCGGATGAATACTGTCGATATTGGAAGCATTTTCCGGAGACCTGTCTAGAAGCAGCCTCTCCGTTCCCTTATAATTAGGTATTAAGGACATGGTGACGGTGACTTTGTGCATCGTCTGGCCCACCTTGTGTTCAACAGATCGTGTATCTCTAACGGCGTCTTGAATCGTTTCCTTATACGCGATTTGCAAGGGACCCAAATCCACGTCGATCTTATACTCCGTCCTAATTCTTTGCCCAACGATATCTATGTGCAGCTCTCCCATCCCTCCGAGAACGATCTGATCCGTCTCTGGATCGTTCTTCACGTGCAAGCTGGGATCCTCCCGCTGCAGTTCTTGAAGAGCATTCTCCAGGGCGGACTGCGCCGAGAGGGAGGGCGGTTCTATGGAACAGAAGAAAACGGGGTCGAGCAAGTTCACTCCGGATGCAAAGAAATTGTTCGCGTAGTCCAGCCGGTTCGGGTTCGCCTTCAGCATCATCTGTTTAGCACGGTTGGCGATAGATGCGTTCGTCGTCACTAGATCACCCGCGACAGTACCCTTCAGTCCGCCTACAGCCGCGATATTGCCGTAACTCACCTCGGTCACCTCCTCGTAATCGTCGGCGCAGGCGATGTACAGGCGTGTGCAGTGCTCATTTTGTTCGCGTGTCACGTTGTACAGTTTCTGGTTCTTCCTCATGCTGCCAGAGTAGATCCTGAAAAAGGTAATCGGTCCCCTCTGCTTGTCGTGAACGATCTTGAAGACCCTGGCTGCCAGGCTGTTCTCGAAGCATCGATACGGATTCGATTCTTGATCTACATTCGTCGGCGATGGCAGGTAGAGAACGACGCTGTCCATTAGAGGCTGTACTCCGATGTTCTTGTAGGAACTTCCCAACATCACAGGCACACCCTTCCTACCTATGGTGACTCTGCGTAAGGAATCGACCAGCATCTGTGGCTGCACATTATCCAGGGACTCCTGCTCTATGATAACATCCGCCAGTTTGTCGTCCAAGCCCGACAGTTTATCAGTCAACAGCCGTCGTCGCTCACTGGCAACGTCCCACAGTCTCCCGTCGTCACTTTCAGTTATTTTTGTCCTTATTAAATTCATACCTTGCCGCTTCTTATCGAACGTTAACTTTTCCATAGTTATCACATCTACGATACCTTCCAGGACACCCGCCCTCTCCACGGGAATCTGAATAGGTAGTGTTTCAACGTTCAATTTGGACTCGACGGACCGTAAACTCATCCCGAAATCAGCGTCCGCTCTGTCCATTTTGTTAACGTAGATCATCCGAGGTATATTAAATCTGTCCGCCTGTTTGGAAACCGTTAATGTCTGGGCCTCCACGCCAGCGGAACCGTCCAGAACTACAATTGCACCGTCCAATATCTGCAAGGTTTGCTCGACCTCCATAGTGAAGTCGATATGACCAGGGGTGTCTATTAAATTGAAGCGATAATCTTTCCAATTGAACGTAACCGCGGCGGAGGTGATCGTTATCCCACGTTGACGTTCCTGCTCCATATAATCGGTCACCGTGTTGCCGTGGTGAACCTCTCCCATATTTTTTATGAGACCCGAATAGTACAACATCCTCTCGGTTGTGGTCGTTTTTCCTGAGGAAAAAAATGTATTTGTGTAAACGTGTCGATCGAGCAAGCAAAATGCATTTTTTATCCATACAATCCATACAAGAGTAATACTAACCAGCATCAATATGTGCCAGTATGCCAATGTTGCGTATCTTTGCGATTGCACACTCTTTACCTTTAGGTACCTCTGGGAAAGAGGCATTTTTATGTATATATCGCATGCGCAATTTACACCACGATGTCTTTAAGAAATTGTGCTTCAACATTTTTTTAATGTCTGCGAAATCTGAGTGTTCTTCAAATTCTTGCTATTGCTATTCTTATTTGGACATGGTATCCTTCATTTCATTCTTCTTTCATTCAAACTACTTTATGTTTATATTTGCCCTAGGAAAAGAGATTCTTAATTAATTTTTTTTATTATAAAAAAAATTTTGATGTTCCTTAGCTACCAGATAATAAAAAAATTAAATATACAATTCCTTTTTTTTTCATAAAAAATATTCTTATGAATTCATTCTTTCCATTAAAAATAATATATTAATTATATGTAAACAGTTTTAAACATTGTTCAATCTTATTAGCATTTTTATTTAAAGAAAACTTATGTAATAACAATTTTAATACCTTTAACAATATTTAACCTAAAAATGCTTATATCATGTTGAAAACAAGATATACATCATGCAAGTTGAACATGGAATAAACAATGGATTTGACAGATGATTAAAGAGATATCGTACTCTCTTTCAGTTTCATAAAATACTTTTTATTCTTCAAATATGCAATCAAATAAAAATTACACACTCCCGGCAAAGGATAATCATCAGACACTTCCTCAGGGCTGCGTTCAGAAATTTCACCTAGGTGCATCTAGGTATCATATTATTCTTGTTTAACATTCGGTGAATAACAAAGATAACACATTGAGTAAAAAGACACTCAATGGGATAACATGATGTACCGTGAATTCCTGAACGCAGCCCAGCTTCCTCTCACGCTTCGCGCTTCCTTCCCAATGAGTTTCAGAACGCCACCAATCGGATCGATTGCACGCGCATGACTGTCAAGCACTCAAGACGTCTCAAAACCAGTCAAGACGTTGAGGTTTCCTTGTCCGGTGTAAACTCTAGCTCCGCGCTTCGTTTGGCAATCATCTGTTCGCACTTCGCGCTCCCGAGGTCCGAGATTGACAGAAGGTTTTCAACGGTTACTCCAACGTTTATCAGCGGTGTGCACGAGCAAGTTTCTCGTTTCGTCCGGATCGCACGTTTACGCAGCAAACCTCGTCGCCGAGGAACGTGCCGAGTCGAGCCGTGAATTGGTTATTTGTCGTGTGTGAGCGATCGGTCAGTCGCTCACGTTGAGTCACGGAGGAGAATTTGTTAAAAAAGGAAAGAGCGCGTGGCAGAGCCCGAGAGTCGTTTGATTATGTGCGCGAAAATGGCCTTTCAGCATCAGCCGGGTACCGCGATGGAGTGCCTAAGCGTACGTATATCCTTGGATTCTGTTTCACACAGTTATTGTATTGTCCATCAGATACATGCTCTTTACTGCTATAGAAGCATATATAGCTGGGATGTCTATTTCATTTCTATCTCGCAAAATGCTCAGAATTTTTGTTGATACAATATTATGCAATATATTAATAAATAAACGATAAGCGGCCATGAGCCAAAGCAAGATGTTTAATGCTCCAAGTAGAAATACGTTAAATTACAATAACGATAACAGACGTTTTTCGACTCTAATCGAGTCATTTTCAATGTTAAAATAAGGCACTTAACAGCATCGGCATATAAACAATGATCGGTAATCCTAACGGTCTAACAGTAAAGTCTTCATCGAGATGTGAATCATAAATTATAACGTTATAAAAATACAGACTGAATTTGGGACGCAAATCTTCAAGTTTGAATAATATATTAATAGATATTAAATTATTGGTTATATATATATAGGTATATATATATATATGATTTAAATATATATACCATATTAATAAATATATTAGTAAATACTTGATGTATATCACAATAATGACAGAAAAATCTGTAAATAAAACTTGATTTATATTCATTTGAGTCAATATTATTATAGTAGACGTCTATTTCTTTTAAATATTTTGCTTTTGTATGAAAGGAACGAATATAAGTATTACCAAATTTATAACAGATCATTGTGTATTCCATCATGTTATGTATATATTTATTTATTGATTTGTTATAGATACCAATTACATTACACAAAGAAACGGAAATCAATGAAAATGGCGAAGAAGTAATGAAATGCGGATTTAAAATTGGTGGTGGTATTGACCAGGATTTTACAAAAAGTCCACAGGGCTATACCGACAATGTAAGATATCATATTAGGTTTGAAAGTATACCGTTTTTATATAAGCTAAACAATTTTAGGATAACATAATGAAGCTTATAGACATGCATTCCTTTTCCAGGGGATATATGTAACGGAAGTACACGACGGATCACCAGCGGCAAAAAGTGGTCTCAGGATGCATGACAAGATATTGCAATGTAATGGGTATGACTTTACGATGGTAACTCATAAGAAAGCGGTTTCTTATATAAGAAAGCATCCAGTATTAAATTTGTTAGTTGCGCGTAAAGGTGTTACTAGTACTTAAAAATAAGAGTACTTAAAAAGAGATGCCAAAAGAGATTTTTATTGACAGATATTTATTTCATATTACATTTTAAGGAGGTTTGCCTATCCGATGTATTTTTCTGCCAAATATTACAGTACGTATTAGCAGCCTCTGTCTATTAATTAATATGTAGAAATTAGTTCAGAATATATATAAAGACAATGTTAAATCATGGGACTGAAAAAGTTAAGGTTTCTCTGTTTAATTTAAGGTTGAAAAAACAGATGTTATGCTTACTTGATACTATTAGTATCTTTATAAAGATGTTTAAAAAGAGAAATGCCAAAGTATAATAATGTTGCATTAAGTATATATATCTTTGACTCTAATTGATATTGGATATTCTTTCTCTAGAAGAGTCCTGCCAAGAATTTATACTACATGCATCTTTTTTGATGCATTTCAGTCATCAAATCTAAACATTAATTACTTTATAATTTTATAGTCAAAGACATACATAATAGACATAATATCAATTTTTATATACTCTATTTGATATACTTGTAAAAGACTCCAGCTATAGTCCAGTTGTAGCAAAAAAGCAGAATTAATAGTTGTAAGAAAAGATATTGGAGACTTTCAAATCTTCCATACACAAATTTATATCATTCTGTCTGAGTTATTCTCTTTGAAATATACATTTATAAAAAATTTTAGTAGCCACACATATTAATTATTTTGAGATATTTCCTATATCATTTTTAAAATTATTGTGATATAGTAATCTATTCTTTTAAAAATTGCCTAAAATTAATCGGAGATTAAAAAATGGAAAAGCATTCCAAACTATCTGCCTAATATTTACATATGTAATTTTGCATTATTGCATTATTAATCTATCATTATAAACTAAATCTGTTTGTAATGTATTTCTGCATATTTTATATTTAATATTGTTTATTAAGGCTCCTATTCATTTGCTATTATTATCTCAGATTTTGATGTCAGAAGCGAGAAAATATACAATAGAAATTCTTGAAAAATATATTTAAATAGAAATGTTTTTTAATAAATGTTTTATTGAAACATTTATCCATTTTAATATTTTTGCAAAAACTTTTCTTGTGTATTTTCTCGCTTCTGACGTTACAATTTGAGAGTATAGTGATGAGTGAACAGGAACTTTAAGAAACATTAATGAGTATATCTCATGAAAAGTGATGAAAATAATATATTTGTATGATTTTTTAATGTTTATCTTCTATGAGAACGAAAGAAAGGTATAATATATTATAATATATTATTATATATACATTGTTTATATTTCAAATATTTCATTTATTAAAGATTATATTAGGTAAGGAATTTATTGAGAAAAATATAAAAATTTTCTGGGATTACCAATAAATAAATGTATCTGTATCTATATCTATATCTGTATATATATATATATATATATATATATATATATATATAAATGTATTGAATTTTTAATTTTTTTTAACAAATAGTCATGTTGCAACAAGATGTAACGTTGTACGTAATAGATAAATAAGAATACAGTTTTTGTACAGTTTTTGTACTTCGTCTCTTTGCTTTTATGCAAAGAGCGAATTTTTTATGTATTTAATAACTTTTAACGAAATAATTTTATATCTTATCTCTTCTTAAGATGGAAAGCATGAGATTGAAAATGAGAATTCCTGCATGATGCATATAAGGATACATAGCTCTGGGAATATATACTACATATATCCTAGTCTAGTAATGTCGAAATATTTCACACATATATTACTCTGTGTACAATGCGTAATACACGATTGCGAGGTATATATGCTCTCCATAGACCTATGAATTATACAAGTGTTATAAAAAAAACCAAATAGAAATTGTTAAAACTATTTTTATTGTTATTTTCTTTATCCTGACGTGGAAAGAATTCCCAAAATGTATCACATTTATTTACTGCTTGCAAGTAGTAAAAAGTAGTATTTGAAAGCAGGTTTTTATACTCAATAATAATTCTTGAATAAATCTGTTTGAACTTTATTGCCTTCAACGTTGTATGTGATGACAATAGAAATAACGAGTATTACTAGCTACGTCGCTACATTATGTGACACTTCAAATCCGTGACATCTATAACTTTTCTCTTATTTCAAGACAATGTTGTAATTTGAGTTTCTATCTAATTTCTAGTCGGAAAAAAGACGCAAGTTGCACACTACGGAACAGTAATATAAAGTCTACAAATTATCTATCTATATTATTCAAACGATAAAATGTACATCAATACTTATGTACATCTTACTACTTCACGTAGTATAATAATCTGCTACACATTTTACGTATGCTAATTATACAACTACATTTTAAAAGCTAATTGTATCTTAGTGATGAATGATAAACGTGATATCTTTAACTAACTATTTAACAATTATTGGCCGGCCATACAATTTCATTTCGCTATATATTATTCTAGTAAAAACATATTTGTTTTGTATTTATTCTAAAAATCTGTATTTGAAAAATATTTTGTTTTCTCACTTGAACTATTAGTTGCAATCAGTAATCATCAAGATGGAATTTGTTAAGAAGATGGAAAGATGTTTCTATTCATTGATATAATTAATTCATAGAGTTCGTGTTTCCACAAATTATGTCTTGATGATTAAAGATAATTTTCTTATATTTACGAAAGCTTTCTCAGTTTATATCTCCATACGATATTTGCCATCGAAAGTATGAGCATTCTTAACGTTGCTTTTATATTATGCATTGTAATTGACTATATTTATAATATTTATGTGTTTCCTATATTTCCTTTATATCCTATATTTTAGAATTAATTAATCTTCATTAGTTTATATATCATGTTACGTTAATTTCTGTTATTAGATAATTTATATCTAAAATTAATGGACTTTTGTAAGCTACCAGAAAATTAACAGATATTAAAATATTATCTTACATGACAAAACATTCATACATTTAATGAATAAATGAATAAATTGTATTCTGTAATAATATACAGCTGTATTGTTGTCTCAAAATTAGTTTTCTCTCTTTCATTTACAATAAAATTCGTTCTCTTTGTTCTGAAAATATTTTTCACTAGTTTTTATATTTGTTTTGACACACAATAAATTATTAAATATATTATATTATTCTTATTAATTTTTAGGTAGATAGCTTGATTTGAAATTATCGTTATCACGTATGTTTAACATAACGTTTGAACAAAGTTAATAATAAATTAACATATTCTAAACTATATTCTTTTTTACCGATTCTTTAATTGGAGAAAACTTGTTATTCTATAATTATTAATCTTCTTGCATAGTATGTTTTGTGGAAGTATGTCAGAAATGTAATATAATGTATTCTATCACTCAGCAATGGAATGAAATGGAATGGAATTTCGTTATAATGTATAAAATTACTATATACTATTATACTATAAAAATTAGTTTGCTTATGCATCTTTCTTTAAGACAAAATTTTAGTAAAATGTTGGTTTATGAAGGGAAGAACGTTTTCTGTTACCCGTGTTTTTATGTAAATATATATGTATATAAATTAATATTAAATCACAATTCACTTGCAATTTGGATTACTATCCTCCACTTTGGAGCTGGAAACTATAATGTGCTCTTGCAGTGAGATCTATACTGCTTATATTGCAATATGGTCTACAAAATGTACATGATTTTATTCTGAGTATTAAATTCCACCTAATTTATCGTTATATGAAAAAATAAAGTTTAAATATTAGACAACATTATTATATATTGTATTATTGTTTAACAGCTATACAGCTAACGGCTGTATTTCACTTGGCACTCGCAACGCTTTTGAAATTATTTCATCCTAGTTTCCAAAATGTTAAACAAGAATAAATAATATTCGCGAGCATTGTGAGCACCAAAATGGAATGCATCCAATATGATAACATTGGTTATGTGATTGCAGGGAATGGGGAAAAGTTAGTTTTTAATTAGTTATCGTTTCTTGTTACTGAGTTAAAAAAATAAACTAGTTACTAATTACTGATTTTTAAAAGTAACTCGTTATCGTTAGCGTTATTTAAAACGTAACTCGTTTCTTTTCCGTTACGTTTGTAATGCTGAAACAAGATCAGTCTAAATAATTCAAGATGCAATTTTCTGTTTAAATATTAATAAAAGCAATACAACAATGATACTAGTCTGACATGTAAAATACAATTTATAGGAAAAGAAATGCCTTTTCGATACGAGCTTTCAGCTTTGTGCTCAATATTTCAATGAATTTATATACATACAATCCAATTCTATAAACTACGCGCAAATAAAAATTTTTGATCTTGAAACTCAATAACGCTTGAATCCAGCTGATATTTTTCAAAAAAAATTTTTACAGTATTTTAAAATATTTATTAACGTTAATCTTTTATTAAATTATTTGTCAATT